AAACAACAATCAATCTTTCAAATATTAAGTCCTGATTTGTCAAATTGCAAGTGCTCAGAAATTTTACCTTATTTATAGGAGGAAATATTTTTAGATCCTTCTAAGTTAATGAAATATTTATTAACTGACTCGTTTGATATTCTAAATGTCTAAAACTTGGCAATGAAATTTAAAGTAGATTCACTTGCATAGAGTTGTTTAATGCCACCTATGTGCTAAGAAACTATGGTGAGTCTGCATAGAGTTTAATCAAGTACAAAAAATGAGTAAAATTAACATTTCAGATGACATATAGATGTGTAAATAATTGTGAAATTTAAGTTATCAATTCAGTACTACTGGCAATATAGATCAATAGGGTAGATTTTTAAGTGAAGAGAGCAAAGCTTATTGAAATTTTTTAATATTTAAAGTATCAAAATTATTTATAAAAGAAAATAAAAATTACATAAAGTTTTAGTTCTTAAATGCTTAGATATGGAAGTAAACGAGTATGCATTATTACAGATCAAGGACAATGTTGAATATTTTACTTCTTTTTTTTTTTGTCAGTCATGGGCATGAACTCTGGGCCTGGGCGCTATCCCTCAGCTCTTCAGCTTAAGGCTAGTGCTCACCACTTGAGCTATAGCACCACTTCCGACTTTTTCTGCTTATGTGGTGCTGAGGAATCGAACCCAGGGCTTCATGCATGCAAGGCAAGCACTCTACCACTGAGCCACCTTCCCAGTCCCTGAATATTTTACTTCTATAGAACACCACTTAATATATATATGATTAATACCATTTCACATGAAATAGAATGAAATTATAAACTATCAAAAATTCATCAAGACAGTTTTATCTAATTTTTTTCATATTTTCCTCTCAGTGTAAGCATTAGATATGACAATTTGTCAGCCTTGTGTACTCTTTCTTATACAATGCACATTTGCTATTATTACCTATGAGCACAGTAGAACTAAGGGTTGGTGGTGTAGCTAAAGAACTTGACCAAGACATATCAGGATCTACTTCAACTCCTAGACTTTCAGAAATGTGTTTTGGCTTCTTATCCTAGAAAGACAGACAGCAGTTCATTTATTTCATAGAAATACGATAATTTAAAACATTGTTTCACTTAATGGTAGAATGCTCGCCTAGTATGCATGAAGTCCTAGGTTTGATTCCTCAATACCACATCAATAAAAAAAGCTGGAAGTGGTGCTGTGGTTCAAGTGGTAGAGTGTTAGCCTTGAGCACAAAGAAGCTCAGGGACAGTGCCCAGACCCTGAGCTCAAGCCCCAGGACTGGCAAAAAAAAAAAAACAAACAAACAACAAAACAAAACAAAACATCATCATCAACAACAACAAAAAAGTTTTATTATTATTTTTTTTGGTTCCGGGGCTTGAACTCAGAATCTTGTGTTCTTGCTTGGCTTATGTGCTCAAAGCTAGCACAGTAACACTTGAGCCAGAGCTCCACTTTTGAAATTTTGTTAACTGGAGATAAGAGTCCCAAGGACTTTTATGTCCCTGCTGGCTTCCAGAAACAATCTTCAGATCTCAGTCTCCTGAGTAGCTAGGATTACAGGGGTGGGCCGGAAGTGATTATACTTTATTCATCATTTGCTAAATGCATATGAGATATAATATGCTAGGTACAAACCTCCAAATCTCAGAGTAAAACTATTATCTCATTAGATAAAGATATTATCTCATTACCAAATTCTCAATTGAGCGCTTTGGTGCATACCTGGAATCCTAGCACAAACTAGAGGATTGAGGGAGTTTCAGGCCGGCCTAGGCTATGAAGCAAGACTGTCTCAATAACAAAACAAAATCTCAATTGGTGCATTATAAATAATGCAAGAAAAATATTTACCTTCACAAGCTTTGGTGTATAAAGTAAACTCCCACATACCACTAGGGGTGGAAAAAAAGAAAATTATTAATTTCATTTTATTGATATTTCTATGATACTAAAAATGAAGTTTTGGTTTTAAACATACCTGACTTTTCTCTCTGTGGTGTGACAAGTGTACATCGTAGAGCAAGAGGACTAAACAAAATGAAATTCCTCGGATTAAAAGAATAATAGTAAAAGAGACAAAATGCTAACCTTATTCTTTCCCAAAGATACTTACTCATATAAAATGCTGGAATTATGGCACTTTCATATATATTTTTTAATCTGTCTTTTTTTTTTAAGTACAAAGTACCTCACACTTGCTAGGCAGGCATTCTGAGATCTGACAGCCTCCAGCCCTCACTTTTTTTTTAATGCTAATTTTTTTTTAAAAGGAAATATCTCATGAAGAAAGTAAGCCATCATGTTGTTTAAAACACTGATTGACAGTGGGGCACCGGTGGCTCACACCTGTAATCCTTGCTACTCAGGAGGCCGAGATCTGAGGATCATGGTTCAAAGCCAGCTAGGGCAAGAAAGTCCGTGAGACTCTTATCTCCAATCAACCACCAAAAAACTGGAAGTGGTGTTATGGCTCAAGTGGTAGTGCGCTAGCCTTGAGCTGAAGAGCTGAGGGACAGTGCCCAGGCCCACAGTGCAAGACCCACAACTGACAAAACAAAAAAAACACTGATTGAAAGCAGTATGTGTAGGTAGATTTTTTTTAAATTATGAAAGTGAATCTAAAATATATCATGTTCCATCAAAAGATTCAAAGTATACAAATCATTACTGTTAAACTAATATTTAAGTACTTACTGCTGTTTATCATGAATATTTTTGTTACTTAGGAAGTCACCAAGTAAACTGGGCACTGGTGCTCACACCTATAACCTTAACTATTTGAGAACTGAGATCCTGAGGATTGTAGGTAGAGACTAGACCTCAGGGAAAAAAGTTAGATTTTCTGAAATAATAGTTGGGTGTAGTGGTCTGTCATCCCAGCTATGATAGAAGCGAAAAAATAGGATATTCTTGGATTAGATGTGCACTTAGCCAGAAAGTGAGACACTATCTTAAAAATATCCGAAAAGCAAAAGCGCTACTATGGGATGTTAAGTAGAGTGCTTGTCTAGTAAATATGAGAAAAGACAGATGATTGAATATTACAAGGAAAACTAAGTAAATGTTTGTTTTTTTCTTTGATAACACTACTGGGGCTCAAACTCCAGATCTGAGGCTCTCAGTTAGCTTTCTGCTCCCACCAACTGAGCTACATGTTCATTTCTAGCTTTTTATTAATTAATTTTTGATAGGATGGCTCTGAACCTCTTCTCAGCTTCCTAAGAAACTAGGATTATAGATGTGAGCTACTGGTGCTGAGCAAATATTTTTTTCCTTCAGATGTGTGTGTGTGTGTGTTAGAGCAAGCATGAGACATTTTTTTCCTTCAGATGTGTGTGTGTGTGTGTGCGTATGTGTTAGAGCAAGCATGAGACACTGTATCATCCAGCATCATAAAATAAATATACAATATTGAACTAAAGCAATCAACTGAAAAGACAACTTAAACATAGAAGATCTTCCATCAGGCACTCAGCCAAAATAATTCAGATGAAAATTAGATTCATTTCTATGAAACAAATATGTTGGCAAATGTTTTACTTAAAAACTATAATATACAAGTTGGTATAAGAGAAGGGGTGACATTGTCCTTCCAAAAATGCACTCTTTAATTGACTCATGTAACTGTAACCCCTCTGCATATCACTTTTGTACTAACAATAAATAAAAAAACTAAAATAAAAGCTGCACCATACCTTTCAGTGAGACAGGAATTAAGAGATGGACTGGTAACATCAATTATGTGTTCCACTTTAGTGTGGCAATTTTTATGTTCATTATTGGCAATATCCTTTCCTGAAAGAATACATACAATTCAGTATGTATACACACACATACTTTGAATTTTGAGTTGTCATTTTTTAAAAAGTACTTAAAAACAAAATGTCTCAGCTATACTTAGAAGGTGAATATATGGGGGAATTGATTCTTCCAAAAGAGGGATGTCTCAAGAGATTTTTCCCCCATTATATATATCCAAATTAAGCCGGGAATGCTCAAGGCTCTCTGGGCTTCTGCTTCCAAGAGTTCATGATTTAGTAAGTATTCATGCAGAATACCAAGTAGAAAATGATATATCCTACTATTAAGTTTCATACTGTACCATGGTATCACATGGATGATATGATCAGGGGAAAAAATATGAACTGAAAACCATCCAAAGTATCAGATCTGACCTCATCCAGGAAACTGTAACCACTAAGGTGAGAGTAAGTACCTGTCCCTTCCATGTATCATACATTATTCCCATTTTTCCTATTAGTTTGAGTTTCTGTGAGGCTATATCTCATCACTCTATTACTGGCAACTACAACAATCCATCATGCTATGGTCATTCTGCAAATACTGGCTGAATCAGTAAGTTAAAATCAGAGGATGTTAGTTACAGATAGCAACACACAATGATTCCATTCTTATTGAATCTATCTATTTCTAAGACAATAAAGCACAGACAGAATTGCCAATAGCTTTAGAAATCTCACTATCATATCCAATTTTGTATTTTTCAGCATTCCTATGTTCCTAGGATATATTCGAGGATATCAGTCTCCAGGGCTTTAAGTACTTATTCATGTTTTTACTGCTTATTGGTGACTACATATTTGATACCTGAACAAGTTATAAAGTTTTTGCCAGGAAATAAAAGAAGCAAACTGTTAAAAACAGTTGCTTTAACTAGCCCTATAGTTTCTGAAGAATCTTTGAGAAAATAAAATGCATCAATGTTATTAAAGTAAAATGAAGACCAAATTAACTCAAAACTATCTTTTTTTTTTTTTTTT